TTTTCTCTACTTTTTATTTTTTAGTAATACACAAGCTCCCTCTAATCTTTGATGTAAACACCTGACCAAACAAGTAGGTAAGGAAAAAAGTTCAAGAATACATTCAAGTAAATATTTGTTGGAGGGCAAGAAGCTTGTCAAGATTGCGAAGATGTTAGTGAAGAGGGAAAGATATTTAACGGTGGTGAGTCATTCCGCACAGGAAAGATATGTAATTGTGGTAAGTCATTCTGGACTTACTCAGGTGTATTGTATTCATGTTGAACAAATAATTAAGATAAATACAAGGCATTTTAACCATGAGATAATACCTTAGGTGATTTGTCAAGGTTTAAAATCCCTTCAGATTGGAGTTAAAAGCCAAATAGAGGATGAAAGCCCCCGGGCATGAGCCTAAAGAATCATTCTAGACCAAAAAATTGGCAAAATGCAGAGAATGGAAGCAAGATCCATTTCAGGAAAAACCTCACATTCGACACAGCTACTTATCAGGTTCTGTATTAAGTGAGTTTTTTTTCAAAAACAGATCCTGCTTGCATTTCTCTACATTTTGCCTATACTTTGGTCTAGGATAATGCATAAGGCTCATGCGCAGGGGCTACAATCCTTTACCTGAGTAAAAATTTAGAGTCTGCAGAGACTTTTATTACTCAATCGATGAAACTTAGCAGAAGCCAAAAACCATAATAAATCATCTTTCAATCACTAGGTAATCCTAGAGACAATATGATCGTTGGAGTGAAAAATATAATTTCAGTTGATCAACATTGAGCAAGTGCTGAAAACCTGAAAAATTTTTTCTGGCAAATTAAAGTGTTGCCAGACTATGAATAGAAATAGGGTTGGTTACAATATCAGTGAAAGACACCTTATCTGGGCAAAATCTAATGAAATAATAGATACTCCAAACCTCAATCCAGTACCAACGGCGGCTGGGAGAGAAATTTTCGACCAGACAATGGGCATCCTCTTGGCAGTTATGAACACACTCGATCGATTGAACCTTAGAAAATTGAACAGGAGCCACGAACCACGCAAACACACTTGATAATTGAGGATTTAGGAGAGCACACACACACGCAAAAAAATGTCAAGCACCACGACATGAGTTCATCGAACGATTCGCACAAAATTTTTCACACGCATCCGAAAACCGCACTGGTGAATCGGCAATTCACACTTATAGTAATACGACGAAAATCTACAGAATATCAAGTACACTTTCACAATCAGGGCACCAAAACTCAGAGCTCGGATCCCACGAGGGCACGATTCAACAAGTTCCAAAAGGCAGGCCGCAGGCTCTTGCACTTGCCGCGAGCAAAATTTCGATTCAAGCTGCGAATAACACACGAATGTTTTCAAATAAACCGAAGAGTTCACGCGAGACACGATACTTAGGCGATAATCGGCGATTCACACTTCGGAATATCAATTAGATTTGGATCACTACCCGTCAAGACACCAATCATGAGGCATGATTCAACAAGTCCCGAAAAGATGACCGAACCTTGCACTTGCCGTGGGCGAAATTTCCATTCAAGCTACGAAATTACACACGACTGTTCTGAAATAAACCGAGGGGTACCGCGAGACACGATAATAATGAGATGATCGGCGATTCTCACTATTAATTGAACGACGAAAATCTGTGGAATATCAAACACGTGCAGGTCACTCAAGAGGCACGATCCAGCAAGCTCTGAAAGTCTGAAACAATGGCCAACACTTTCACTTGCACCGGGCAAAATTTCGATTCAAGCTACGAATTATTCGCGACTGTTCTCATAATATATCGACAAGTTTTCGCGGAACACTTCAGTTTGGGCAGAATGTTCGAAAATAATAGTCTGGAATCCTTCAGACTTACTTTAAAAGAGGCCATGAATGATCAGGACCGATTCGCTGCGGGGGTGACCGGAGGTGCCAACGTAACGAGCGGACGACTGATTGAAAACTGCCGAAAATCTGCCCGCAGCCGGCCGGTAGCGCTTCGGGCGGGTGGGGTGGTCTACCAACCGTTTCGCACCCTCTGATTGGCTGATCAGCGCGCGCAAAGTGTTGACAGACTGAGACGCGTCTTCTGTTGGCGTCGGTCTGTCGCTCCGTCCGTCGTCGCGTCTGAGGATTCTGCCGCCAAAGGCCAAACAGGTGCCCCGGCCTTTTCTGAAAACTGATAAGCGATGCTTTCAGACAAAACGGCAAAACGTCGGTTACCTTCCTTCTCGAATTTTCTCCCCTGCGGCCGGATGTCGTGTCCCCAACGAAACTTATTTCTTGCTCGCACACTGTTCAAGAGCCCGTCGTCGATGTTTCGGTGTCTCCCTGGCCGAGGAACGTAACTCTATTCCTCGGTTGCTAAATTGACTCGTGCAATTCAATTTTTCAGAATATCGACGGCGTAAGTCCGCAATCACCTATCTCGTTTGCGGTGTCTGAAAATCTCCGCCCTTATGTTATTTTTTTTAAAGGAGAACAAATTGACATGATTCCTTGAAGTTTTTGCAGAATTTTCTTCGCACAGAGAAGAAAAATCACGGCAGTTTTAAAGAATTGCTGTGAGTAGTTTTCCATTTGAAACATAAAGTATGACAGGAAGTCTGCGACGTCGCAAACCGAGTCTTGTGATTGCCGACTTACACCGTCGATATACTTGTGCAATTGAGGAATTTTTCGATACAGAGGGGTGTATGAGACTTCCAGCCGCCCGCCGCTAAAATTTTGAAATCGAGTTTTCTAGTTGAAAACTCACCTATTTTTCCCTGAGTTTTCTCCGAGTTTTTCCTAACTATTGTATGGAAGTAAGTCGATCGGTGGCGTAGCTAGGAATTCTTTAAAGGGGGAGGGGGTCCATGACGGTAAATTTACATTATTTTGTGTACGTCCCTGATAATATTTTATGTCCTCCCTCCAAAAGCCATAGAAAAAGTACAATTAACGAGGCTAAGGGCCAAGGGGGAGGGGGGGGGGTTCAGACCCCATTTTGTCTACGCCACTGAAGTCGATTGAGAAGTAATTTCAGCTGCCGCAAACGCTATAAAATATTACTTACACTATCTTAGTGGCATTGCAAGCCTCATGCGCCCTTTTTACCGAAAAAGTCGTCCTAAATTTTTATCTAATTTTTTTTCGAATTTCGCATCAGATGAAAAGATACCTACTTACATCAGTAAAATTTTCCAAGATTCGCCTCCTTAAAATGCAATTTGCGAGGGGAAATTTGGCAACATTGAAATGCAGTTACGTTCTTTCGAGATGGAAATGACGATTCTTTGCGAATGTCAGATCGTGCCACGAATCACGCATTGAAGTTTCATTATAGCTATAGAAGAAAATTCATTATAATAATTAATGAGGCTACTAAAAAAATATTAGTCACCGCACGTGATTTGTTAGGAAATACTCTTTTTACAGGGTTTTTTTAAGTAATGGGTTTCCGCGCAAAGTTTCTTTTGCTCGCCACTGGAGCATTGAGCATTTTTGTCGGCTATTTGGATCGCATTTTGCCAAAAGGAACCAGCGTGATTACAGTGTTTTCCAAATCGTGCTAATTATTGTTTCCTTTTAAAAATACTAAATATATGTACAGTATTAAAATTTACACCATTATATCCCTTTAAAATTAACAACATTTTTTGACTGGATGCAACAACTATTTGCTATTTTCGGAGATTTATTAGATAATTATGAAGAAGCAACATTTTAACAACACTGTAATTGCGCTGCTTCCTTTCAGCTGAATGCTATCCATAATTCTTTCACAAGCACTGACCAATAACCAACCTCCCTTTTTTTTAGGTAATAGCGGGACAGAGCAACGTGAGGCGTGCTGACTCAACCTCAGCGGCCCAGCGGAGAAAAGCCGTGCGCTTGGTTCAACACCCAGATTTTCGGGATTTTCCCAGAATGCACAATCCAGGAAACGGAGATCTAGCCTTGGTTCAGGTAAGTTTCGCCTCGCCCACCAAATAGATGGATCGCATTTTGCAAAAAGGAACCAAGAGCAATCCAATGTTGCTAAGATTGTGCAAATAACATTCCTTGCCATATATTTATTGAAAGCCTGCAAAAAATGAAATTTACATGATAATATTCATCTTGAAATTTATGGGAGTAAGAAAAAATTGTTTTCATGATCAGTTTATGTTTGCGAGGTAAAAAATATGGCACAATCTGAGCAACATCGGAATGCTCATCCAGATGCGATTAAGCTTTGGCTGGAGACAAGAATAATGGGTTCCAGGGTGGAATGAAACGTACGTAAGAAAGAAATGAATGATTGGAAATTTCAGTGAAATATTTCATGAAATTTCTTGAGGCTGTGATATATTTCGTGTTTTTTAGGGGCTAGAGTATGCAACCCGCACTCAAACACACAAAAATGTGATACCACTGGCTATTGTCAAGACTTCAGAGAGATAATGTTTGCCCCCTATGATGATAGGCTCTTTTGCCTTATAGACTTCTTCAATATTTTAAAAATAATCACATTAAAATTTCAAACCATGATTTGCATTCTTGATGATATTATAAAGCAGTTGAAGTAAATCTCTCTTCAGACTTGAAGAAATCAGAATCAGAATTTGAGTTTTTGATGGAAAACACGTCCCCAGTTCATTTTTGTGCCGTTGGGTGTAAAATCAGCATGAACCAGACAAGTTTCATCCCTGAACAGAACGAAGAACATCTGTACCTTCGAACTGTAACTAAATTTTATTTTGACATTTCTAGATGCTATTTGTGTTATGGTGTCCATGAAACACTTTTTAGGTAACAATACCAATTAATAAATTTTTTGTTTTTTGACACCCAATTTTCCATTGTAAAGTCAACATTATGACTGCATAGAAACAAGCTCCTGAATTTTTCAGATTTAAATTTTTGACAGCATATGATCAATGTTGAAAAACTTATGTTTACTACTACTGGAAGTATTCCATTTGATTGAATCTCTTTAAATTGGAGAATAATAAATCCATAGAGAATAACAGACACAAAAATAGAAAAAATAAGATATATTTCGAAAGAGAAAATAGTATAGACTACATTTCCATAGAAATTACACAAATTTTATCGACACTTACGTTTTTCTTCTTTTTTTTTTACAATGTCACCAAGATATAAACAATAATACCAACATTGACGATCAGTTATGTTGCTCATTAAAAAAGAAAAGCTATTCAGGGTATCGTAGACAGAGGTACAAATTCAGTTTGTTAAAAAAGACGTGTTTCGTGATCAGAATCTAAAAAACACAAATTTCAACACTTAAAACTTAATCTTAACTTGGAAAAATTGATCCCTTTAACGTAAGCTGAATTGAATAAAAATTAAGAAGCTTATTAACTTAATTAAATACAACTGACTTCAATAGAAAAACTTATGGAAAATGCTTCAAACAAGAGCTCTGCAATCAAAGTGCAGAGAATGAAAAATGGCTTTGTAAAAAGATGTTCTCGAGAAAACAACTCCATGAGAAGAAAATAAAGCAGAAAAAGGCAAATTATGAGAACTAAATAGGCGAACTAAAGAAAATACTTCTCAGAAAGTCAAATATACGTGAAAGGAAACAGTGAAATAGGGGCTAAATTATGGTTAGTAAAATATTATTGTGTATGATGATTCGAAAAATGGTCGATAGATTAGCAGATTTAATTTCAGTTATCAGAAATTTTTGACAGAAGATATATTTCCATGACACAATTTTAAGAGGACTATATTCAGCTTGTTGGTAACTGCTAAGGCTCAACCATCAAGTCATTGACTTCTCTTGGTAACAGAATTTACACTGGCATAGGAAAGAATTCTAATTGAAGAGGGCATATTTTTTACAGCGCATTTTTGAAAGGCCCTTGGACACGATACTAATGCTTACACCTTATGCCCTTACTATTTGACGGCTTAATTTGATTCAAATTTAAAAAATCGTGAGAGGAAAAAAAATGTTAAGTTTCCAATCAAATCAATTTTAAAGATTGTAACTTATCAATGAAGCACAAGTTTTAAATATTTTTGACGCAAATTCATACTAGGAGGATTTTTGGTGAGCTTTCCATTAAAATATGTCACCTCTCCTATTTCACATGAATTCAGGGTAACATCGATAAACTAACCGTATTGGTAATGGCATCAAGTTAGCAGTGCTGTTTTGGTCCAAAAAAAAAAAAATAGTTATCAGTAAGTACTTAGTGCACTGCAGTCAAAATTTACTCGTATTTTTGTTTGTTTGCGGGAGGGCTCTAAATATTAAATGCATTAAAAAATAAAACCTACATTACATTTAACGTAGCAGTCTTTAGTTTTACAGACTGAAAATGGTTTGATGATCAAAATTTATGTACTTACAGTTGCAATCATGTTTTCTCTCTTATTCAACCTACTGTTCTTCGGAAAATGGGGAGAAAATTTTGTAAATTTCTGATAAAGCAATATTAATGGTTTCAAAAATTCTTTATGGTTGCATCAAGTCATGCAATAATCACTCATGTCCATTTCTTCAGTCTTCAGGGTAACTGTTTGGATTGTTGACACTTCTCAAATAGAGATTCAACCATGAAAGTGAGGTACAGACTCGTTCTAGGATAACTTTGATCCCAAAACAAGTCCACACATCTTTTTCATGATTGCATTTGACTATTGAAAAGTATTACTACATATTACAAAAAAACTGAAAACTTGAAAAATGGACTTTAACGGATTTCACATGTTGCTGCCTTTCAATTACAATTCAAGTGAAGGCAGCTAGGCCACTGGTGGGTGTGCACGCCACAATTGGCAGGCACAAGTTATAGAGAGAAATTACGGATGTATGAAGAAACATAAAAACACTTCGCATAAAGCAGTAAAATGAGTAAATCCTCGAGTGACAAGTGCTAAGCACATCCACAATGCTCCATCTTCATGAGTAGACAAATAGAGAAGTGCTTGATATCTATTTTACTTTCCTCCTTAATTGTCGAGGAAAATTTTCTTAGAAAACGTTATAACCCTAAATAATTAAAAAAGCATCATACATAAATCATGAAAGTTGAATGACTATTTCTATACAGAATGAGGGCTTTCAAAAAGTTGGAATTTTACAGCTTTGCACTACTCTGATACCAAGTCCCACTGCTTAATTTACGAAAAACAAGAGGAAAAAAATTAATATATTTTATAGAATTTCGAAAGTCATAAAAATAATGATAACAAAGAGCTATAAATCTATTTTAAGTGAACAATCAACAAAAAATAGGTAATCAAGAATTTGGTAGATAAATAATTGAGATAGATAAATTGGTAAATGAAGTACTCAAATCAAGAACTATGCAAAATTGAGACAAAAATTAAGTACAGAAAATAATAGAAAATGAAATATTAACCATTTGAAAAGATGAAGAATCTTCGTACATTAACCTAATATTTTTTTCTTCTTAATTTTGCCTCAAAAGAGAATCATTAGATAGCATAATACAAAACTAAAGGGTATGTACGAAAATTAAATAAAAAAAAAGAAAATAATACTAAACATTCTTTAAATTGACTTCATTAACACTGACGTAGAAACATTCGTTGGGATGTAATTGTATCAGAACCTTATGATACCTGATATATTAAATTATGCTGAGAAAAAAAGCAACATCATCCACAGCAAATAGTTGACACACAAAAAAATTGGAATATATACCACATTCCAAAGGATGATTCAAAAGACTCAGGTAACAAAAGCGATTGATAGGATGTTAATCATGGCAGAAAGAATAAGATTTAAATTTGGAAAAAAAGGATTTATAGTCGATTGATAAAGGATTGAGTCAATATGATTAAAGAAAGCAAGATTTGCGGTGGGGTAATGAAGTATTCATTCATGACAAGAAAGGAGGAGAAACTAGCAAAAAACATTTTCTTGATTAATAATAAGAATAATAAAAACAAATACTGACTGGCCCGGGTAAAGATCAGTCGTAAAGGCCAGAAAGAAGGAGGCAACGTTGAGGTTTAAAATTGACTCCCGGTTGAATTTTGGTAATCGTCATGACATGAACACCACTTGTTAGAGATCTCAAAATGTTTAACTTTACCTTTGAACAAATCTGAGGCATTAGGATTAGAAATTTATGTACATAGAATAGAGTTTTGCCATTGACAAAAAATTACCTAAATTTTAGAAATCATTTGGGGTTTAAAATGTTTTAAACCACCTTTTTGGGTGGTTTCAGTTCTTTGTTTGTTAACCTTCAAACTTTGCCTTGCAACAAATGTAACTCAACTGAGAAAACTCACAGCTTGAACATTGCTAAGAAAATATGTGAACGCATCCGAAAAGATATGAGACCCGGGGTTTAAAGGGTCATAAAATGAAACATTGTGACTCTTGAATAGATTTACAGATGCTATTTTATGCAAACAGTACACTTTAAATAAGAGCACCTGGTTTTCATTTTAGAACTTCTGGAGAGTGGGTTGTTTGCTGTAGTCACGCAATTGTACTTTGATGATTGAATTTTTGGACGGCACAAAATAATAAGATAGGTCTGAAAGTCTACAACCAATATTGACTTAGACATCTCTCTGCTAAAGGTACTTCTGATGATGTCATCAATCACGGCTTTTAAAGGACAATATCTCCAGTAATACTGAAAAAAAAAAAGAGCCTGAGAGTTGGAGCCGATCTTGACTTTTTAACTAATCTAAAAATTTCAACCATCAAAATACAATTCTCTGACTAGCACAACTATTTTACTATTATGCTTACTCAAGGCGCTTCAATATAGAAAAATACGCAAGTTTTCTACCTCAATTTTAAATCCCAAATGATACAGATTTTTCAGTGCAGACTTACATCATAACTAAGCCTTTAAAATGTTGAAAGAATCAGAAATCTCTAACAGAAAATTTTCCTAAAGCAGGATTTCGGGATGAGACCAAATCTTCCTCCCCCTTTCAGACTTGGTAATTAAAATAATTTCATCACAACTCACTAAAACAGCTAGCAAGTGAAACACCCGAAACAATACATATAACATAAAAATATGACTACAATAAAATATAATTTACAATAAAGTAACATAACACCTACAAGTACTGAGACAAGAAAGGTATACCTACTGTATATGTACAAAAACAGGAGGTACTTAAAGCTTCCGACATCAAACATGAAAAAATATTCTGCTAATGAACAGACAGGGCAAACCTCAACGAATGAGGCAATTAAAGGTAATAAATACATAGTTTGAAATAAAAATTTTCTAAGCTCCAACTTCACCCTCAAGTCACAGCAGGTAAAAAATATACCCTCTCATAAAAAAAAACGAAGAAAACAGAAATGAATAAAGTGCTTAATTATACGGTTTTGCTGAATAACTTTCTTGTAATTCCTCATCAAAGTCCTTTGAATTCCATGACTCTTATTGTTAGTCCCTTTTTTTATTTATGGTAAGGCAAGTTGATGATAATATAATAAAATGCTGAGACTAAAACGACAGAAACAACCGCAGTGTTTTCTGAGTTATCAATTGCGTATCATGTCCCCAAGTTGGTGATTTTTCTGTGAATGATTGACAGGGTAGATTCATCTCTGATTGGTCTGTTCTACATGAAAAAATTTGGAGCAATTTTGGGGACACTGCAAAAGAAGGTTTTTGGAGAATATCACAGAGAAAATTGTCACTTTTCAAATCTCCTTCAGCAAGAAGACAAAACACGCAGGAATACAATTAGGTACCCGCACACATAGAAAGGAAATTAAGCAGAGTCTAGGGGAGGAGATATACAAATCATGATGGACTATCATTTCATTGAGAGATTAATATTATGAGAATGTTGATGAGATTATTTTCAAATGGACAGATATTTTCAGATTTCAGCCCCAATATTTTCTGACAAAAAGAAAGAACCGAATCTTTTGATACTTGAAAATGTCTTGCTTCAGAGGTTCAATCGTTTTTCAAAAGTGTTATAAAACAAACAAAGAAAACAAATTCCTGCTCCCAAAGATAACATGTTTAAGCTCTCTTCAACTTTTTTTGGGGTGGGTGAAGGGATGAGAGTTATGTTAAAATATGCTTTTTTTCTGGTGAGTTAGCAGGATAAGAGAGTAAACTAGAAGAAAAATGAAGAGGAAAATAGAATGAGCAGGTAATTTAAACTCTGTTCTAGACGATTTTATACTTTAGATCCACAAGATAAAAAATTCTCTGCATACAAGTATTTTCAACTTCCTTTTCTTGAAACAATTAAACAAACAAAAACACCTGGATAAGAAAAAAGAGAGGGGGAAAAGACAATAAAATGAAAGAAAACCCATTCTCTGTACAATAGTGATTAGAGTTGCATAAAGCTCAAAGAATTCATAAATTAGAAATCCATCTTGAAAATATCTCATCAAAAACTAACAAAATTCTTTCATAAAAACTCCTTGTGAGTAGCCAACTGGCTCTGCATAAAATTTTGCTGATAAGATGAGAACATGAGACAGGGACAGGGACCAACATAAAAACCAAGACTGAAGAGCAAATTAGAGAAAGCTTTTCAAAAGAAGATGTAGCGCAAGATGCTCTGAAACTTCTACAGAAAGGGATACTACAAGAATTAAACAAAAGAAAAAAGTAAGCCAATCAGCTCTAAGTCCTGCATTAAAAAAGAGGATACATTTTTTTTTCTTCTTTTTTTAAAGAGGAACAATCACAAATAATAATAGCAAGATACTTGACTACTTAGAGACATTTGTACTGCTCCACAAAAATTCCGAAACCAAATCTTTTCGAGAATGCTTCGCTGGAATTAGTCGACTGAACAAGATTTTTCATTGTCTGAATATTTTACAGCATATGTTAAGCAAAAACATATATGTAATCTTGTATAAACATAAAAAAACTACTATTGACTGCAGAATTCACAGCAGAAATTTCTTCACAGACAGTAAATAATACAGCTTTCACTAGAGTCAGGCGAAATTATTAACGTTAAAATAGACGGGCTAATAGTCATTGAAAGAAAATAATCTTGAAAAACTGATTCGTCTGCCAAACGCGAAAAGAGTAGGCACAGTAAAACAAATTATCCCTTGAGGGTATACAAGAAGTCATTACGTAAATGATAACAAAGCAAATACTTGAACAGTGATTAAAAGTTAACAACATGTAAAATGAAAAGGAAGGGAACAGAGGGAATTGATACAACTTTTCTTCATGATACGGGATTATTGTTGTAAGATTTCATGGTGATGAGTTTATAGAACAGACCGATACTCTCACATCTTTTATTCAAGATTACTACTCTACATTGAGTAAATGTTCCCTACTCTACATGGGAACATTGCCTTCTTTAATAGGAAAGCAAGCCCACTTGAAAGCTTGCGATTAGTAAACTTTGAAAGGCATAATTCATTCATTAAAAACGGGACAGCCTTAGAACTTCTTCTTAAGGTGTAAAAAGATAGAGGAGGAAGTTCATCCTACAATGTTCAAAATTTTATGAGGGAACTCATCAAAACTTGAACAATTAACTTATCGTCTACTTGATATTTTCTTGTCCCTTTGGTCCACAGGTAAACAGTCATGCTTGCAATACAGACATACTGTCCGGAGGCTGGAAAATCTTTCTTTCTGCAAGCACTGCATCATTTCACGGTAAAAGCTATGGATTTGGCAGGGACAGATTTCACTAAGGCCATCTCTGGAGGAAATATCATGTTGTTCAAATCTCATAATTTTTTAAGGTAATTCAATGAAGCTCTTGCAGATTTCCAGAATATGTTGATTTGGCTGATGCTGGTGACAAAACTTGGCATAAGAAGATTCATTTCACTCACATTTTTATTTATTAAACAGGTAATGTGAGACGCAACAGTATGGGTCTGTTCAATGTACTCTTCACAACAAAATCCCAAACCGGAGAAAACTTCTCTACTGTCACTTCAAGTATAGAGGAGAAAGGTGTGGTCTGAAGAACAGAAAAAATAAAGAATGCTGCCGTTCACAACAGAGCAGAGAAGAGAACTGATACAAGAGTAGGAAAGAAATTAAAAAAAAGTAAATAAATCTATTCTTCGATTTGGGTGATAACCGCAAATAAACAATTAAACTATTTGAACTGCACAAGTTTGGTTAGTAAGGTTTAGTGGCACGCTTATGTTGCTTATGCTGGACTTTAAGGCGCCTAGTACCTATCTGAAAACCATTCATACTTTGTATGGCAGCCTTAGCACTCGCGACGTTGTCATACGAAACAAATCCTGCAACATAGACACAAAACACACATAGTTCACATTAAAACACACAACAGAGAGAAATCAAGTATTCAGAGGGCAAACAATGGGTCACAGACTATCCTAGATTCAAATGTCGCTCAAGAAATTTTACATTTCACTCCATACTTTAGCAATAACTGAAATATGTTGAAAGGATCGATTAACTTACAAACCTACAAGTGTAAGGAGACAAAGCGTGAAAATCGAGGGGAATCAGGACTGTTTATCTTTTGAATTTTTTTTAAAAAGATGCTCTCTGAAATAACTTCTCGAGCACAATAATCTTTAAACCTGGAGCATCAATGCATTTATTTTAAAAAGAGCAGGACTAAAAAAAGAAATTATTCTGCGTTTTGATGCAAGTATCCTGCCGAAATTTTTGCAACAACTGATGCATTGGTGATCAAGTAAATCTCTCTCTTTCTCCTAAAAAGTGATACAAATGGAATGTGTGTTAAGATTTCTTCTTTCAGACCTCAAGAGAAGAGCTATATATACCTCATAGCTGTACCAACACAGGTTGAACGGTATTGGTCAAATTCTCTATTCAAGCCCAATTTCTTTAAAATCAGCACATATTCAGTTTTAGGTTTAAAGCTTGCCATGCTCAGAGGGTTGTAAAGAATATCACTTAAAAATTTAACTAGAGCTAAATCCTCTAGATTTCTGCACATTATCCCGAGTTCTCTAAATATATTTTTACAAAATGTTTGGTTCCTCACTTTGCCTGACCTCTAATAATTTCTTGCTATCTTGACTACGCAGGTCAGATAGGTATGATGTTGAATCTTGGATGTCTGTCCACCCACACAGCAAGTATTAAGAATGGGTGAGGGGGTGATCCAACAAATATTAGAGAGAGAAAAAAAGTAATAAAACAAAGGAACATGTAATCAGAGATCAGCTGCCTTCACAAGTTGCCTCCTGAGGCAAAACGTCTCACATAGATTTGGAGATAGAAGACAGAAGTGCAATGAATTCGGCTATCTCGCATAATATCATTCAGATTCAAGTTTTGTCGAAAACCTTCTCGATATCCATACAGGTAGTTTCGAACACTTATTTACTACAGGCATGTTGAGGTTTTGTACTGTTGGTTGAGATTTATTTTTGAGTTCAAGCTTGAGCCAAAAAATACGCTTAAAATAAGCCTATTGTTTAAAACTGTCTAAAACAAAGACTTGGAGACTTTCTAGAATCTAAGAGTCAAGTTGAAACAGATCAAAACTGAGAACAATGAAAGAATAGCAATGGAATACACAATAGAATGCACTTTGTAAGGCTTTTTGGGTGTCTGTCAGAATCCTTCAAGAGATTAATCGTTATTCTAGGCTAGGTTATTCTAGGGCTAGGATTATCGTTTCTCTAGCTACTGAAAAAAATAAAGTATGTTTTGGAAGCTAAACATCTTTCTGAACAACTTGACATTACACTCACTAAATTACCTCCATCAGCAAGACTCACACCTCTTTTTATCATGCATGAATACAGTTGTTTGCTGCATAACTCTTAGGATAACTGGTTTAACCAAATCGGATGGCATAAAAAATTCCGAACCATTCCAATATTTCCTGTTCTTTAAAGAGAACTTTTGCATGTTATTTGAAATTCCTGATGGTTTCCCATATCTTCAAGACATTTTGGAGCAATGAATACCATGGAGTGGGCTGTTTAATAATTTTATTTTTATCTGATCTCTGAAGGAAAAGAGGAGGAAAAAAAAGTTTTCTTCATCAATCTCAAGTGCATTCAAGTTGTCAATTGTTCATTATATGTACAGACTTTACCAATACTTTCACTAGATATCACACTTTTCTTATGTGAGGTTTGAACGTAAGTTAAAATAATAAGAAAACTTGGAAATTAAGGAACATTCCAACTTCTGTGATGGAGTTTGAGAGAACTTCTGAGATGAATTTCTTATTGCGTTACATTTTAGAGAGCTGCTAAAAGATATGCAAGTTTTTGATGAATAATGCAGGGTTTCCATAATTTCTTCATTTTTCAGTACCCTAACTTTCTCTGACTTTTTCCTGACTTCCCTTGACTTTCGAGTAATAAATCTCAACTGAGATTTTATTTATTTTGATTAGGCTAACTTTTACTAAGCAATGGACAAAATCTCTTCTGTGGCATGTACATATAAAAGGCACTCTGAATTTACTAAGCTGATGCTTAACTCAAAAAATTCCTTGATTTTTCCCTTGGATTCTCTGGCCATCGGGGTTTATCAGGCTGTCAGGAACCCTGATATCATTGTTTTCTAATGATAAAACAGTGCGTAAGACAAACTGTCATCTTCACTGATCATGAGGAATGACAGTACTGAATGAAGAATCTTTGAATTACATGGATAATTGCGACCAATGCATAATTTTGAGGTAAAAAATCCTGTATTTCTCTTAACTTAGCGATCAGGTTTCTATAAAATTCTCAATTTTCTTGGTATTCTGTGTATCAAAAGCGGACGAGTGATGCAACATAATAGAAAACAGCCTCTGAAAAGTCAACAAGTGAAGGCTCCTGAGTCTCTGATCTCACTGACTCCACGGCTACAATGCGAGTAAACAGTGCCGAAAGAGTAAGTATCTGCAGGATATTTGAAGGCATAGGCACAGAGTAGCATTAACATGGAAGTCTGTACATTCATATTTACATAAAATACAGACAAGTACGCATAAGACTGTTCACCATCTACGCCCGACACAGTTACTGTTGAAAGACTAAGTAACTATTATTCCTGACTGATGAGGTCGGAATTGGATTTCATGATTCATTTAAGGTCAATAGCAAGGAGTTAATGCAGAATGGCGGTATATTTATTTCTTGCATGGAATTTCGTGAAAAAATAAAAACGTTAAATAAAAAAATAAATTCTAGGGGGTAAAAAATCTAATGAGAATCAAACCAATTAAAAGCCGACAGTTGAGTTGACCTAGCAAGGCTATGTCTGAATATGAGTTTAGTCTATCAACAAACACCCTGCCCCTGCGCTCAGCCCCTGCCTGGCTACGTCATCGGTGCCTGCCAAAAATATCGTTTCCGGTCCTATTTTTAAAACGGGGTTTCTTTGTCGTTTAGGGTTTAACAAAACTCTAAAATATTCTTCAGAGTTTAGTTCACTTCATACTTACAAACAATAAATCGTCACCTTCCAGGCAAAGTATCACAAGCGCCATGCGACGTTTAAAAATTTCCGCCGCCATTTTATTTTTTTACTGAGAAATTGTTGGTTGAATTTGTTCGAAAATTTCACTAAATTTTATCGGCAGCACAAAGAAAATTCGGTGTAATTTTCGGACAGCTTCGTTGAACAATTTCTCTGTAAAAAAATATAATGGCGCGGAAATTTTTAAACGTCGCATGGCGCTTGTGATACTTTGCCTGGAAGGTGACGAAATTAAAAAATTGGATACCACTGACAATTATTTTTGCTATTCAGACATGAGAAAGTCACTGTGAATAAGAACATTCTAAAATTGCATTACTTTTAAAGTGGCTGAAACAGACATTTTTTTTTTTTTTAAATCCTGTGGATGAATAAAGATCCTCATTAGCCTCATTGACCTTCATTAGGTCTGAGCATGACAAGAGGACAGGTTGGTAGAGGTGCAAACTTAAGTATCTGCATAACTGAAAATGAGTTATTGTAAAATTCGCATTAGGTAAGTTGGCATTTGTTTGCTTCTGACTGTCTCAAGCAGCAGACAAATTTAGCCATATCTCCTCAGAGGTAGAGTACCTGTATAGGGAGAGTAGCGACAGATCTGAAACTCCGAAAGTCCATCAGGCCTTCACCGATGCCTCCGCGAATAAAGTTAGGGCCCAAAAGGGCAGCCAACCTATGCATTTCGAATGTCCAGAGCGATTTACAAATACAATTGTTACGAACCGTCGTTTAGAAAGCATGTATTTGGTTTACTTTTTGCATAAATTTACTCATTTTTGCGAAAGAACGCTCATTTATATACATTCTTAGCCATCTAGAATTGAAATCTGTAGGCTGGCAGTGAAATTTTGTGTGTTAGAAGTTGCTCAGTAGGGTGGCTGCACTTTTGGGCCCTAAGCCCTCCATGAACCGATCTGTCGCTACTCTCCCTATACAGGTACTCTACTCAGAGGAGAGCATTGGTTTTCAGTACCACCAGCAGCACAGCATCATTGTTGCACTAGATCAATAATCGATTGCTACTGGATAGCAGTAGTGCAATTGCTTGCAAAGGGAAAGAAAACAACTGCCAACATACCTCGAACGAGTTCTAGATATTTTTCAAGTTAGTTGAATTTTTTAGGAGAAAAAAATTGGAGTTATTGAAAGAATCCTGATTTAAAAATGCAAGCTAATGTATTGAAATGGTCAAATTTAGGAGTGATGAAAGATGTTTCTGGTCTAATAGTGAAATCAATTCTGAGGGATCTAAATCTTTTAATGAGGGTTTCTCAAATAACATTACGTATGTCATCATCAGTTCATTTTTAGTTTGGCACAACAATTGAGTTTGTGCTCATCTCCTGGACAGATCTCCAGGTGGTTGCTTCCAAGTATTTTTAACGTATTGTTTTAGTACGTGCCCTTGCCTGATAGTGACCAAGTGCTAGTAACCAAACATCACAAAAAGGTCTCCAAGATTCTATACATAAATTTCAGCAGTTATGTATTCTTCGGGACTTCCAAATACTGAAATCTAAATATGATTTAGAAGGCAGTTAAGAACTACTTTAAACTGTTTCTGGGAACCGAATGCAAAACAACAGTGACCAATTCATTGAAATAACTACTTACACAATTATTAAATTCACCAAACTTATTTAGCAGAGGTTCAGAGGATGTTTGCCCTGGTAGACAAACCTTGTGTTTTTCAGCCCAATACCAGACTTTTTAGATGCCGTAAGGACAAAAAAATTGACAGGGGATAGGGGGGGGGGGACACCTGCAGAAAAAGTAGAACTTACTGCAGGGGTAGATTGATGAAATTTTTGGAATTAAAAAAATTGGTTGTTAGTATAATTGATCAGTAAACAGAATCTAATATTCACAGTTCTTTGAAATAAATATTATCTCCTCAAATTTGCAAATAGATGCAGATTGTACTTTTTTTCAAAGCGCTTAACAAAAAGTAACAGGAGTTTGGAAAAGGAGAAAATGAAATTAGAAATCCAACTTCTTCCTTACTAGACGGAAAAACAATACAAGGTAAAATTCAATTCAAAATTTATGGGTGAGGTACAGCATGCTTTAAATTAGAAGAAAAGGCCATAAAGCAGTTTGAAGAAGAATGATGCCTGAGAAAGGGGGGAGGGAAAGGAAGGCAATGTTTGAGAAAGTTAACAAATAACAAAAAAAATTGGAGGAAATTTATCTGACTGGTGGATTTAAAATGTTTACGCTACTTCCACCGAAACCATTGTGAAACATGTTGACTAGAGAATAGGTGGGCAAATCTGCGCCTCCTATTTTATCAATAAATTAAAATCAATAATGCGTTTTAGTATCAATTTCACATAGTTTTAAAACAAAAAAATTATGAAAATATCACAGAATGACTAGAATGCAGAAAGAGAATCCCTGAGAAAGTTCAATGTTTAAGCAACATTTCAAGTTTCTAGACGTTGACTAATCTAGAGACATTCATTACCCAATTGTAAAATATTTTTAAAGCCTTTTTAATTAAGGAAGTTTTAGAATAAAATAGAGGAGGATGAATCCCGTTAAACTTGAAAAAATTAAAAATAATGTTGCTGCTAGAAATATTAATGTTACTTTATGTACAGAGGCTTCTCAGATAAATTATCTACAATTAAATTCTGTTCGACTAGAGAGCTGACGAAGAAGTAAGGTAGCCAGTCATATTAAAGAGCTGAATAGCAACTTATCATTAGTGAATGTTTTTCAGGAACAAGTGCGAACAAGGACAAATAATAATCGAATGGTAATCATGAAATAAACCCCCTGCCTAGAGAAGATGCCAGGTTAAAAACAGCCAACATTTTTTTTTCTGCCTAAAAAAGTAAGGGACTAAATCACAGATATTTCCATTATAATACAGGCCTTAATGTAAGACTAAAAAATGGAAGAACACAACACAGAAATAATCTATGACAGTACAAGTGACACACTCATACTTTTCATCTTTTAATTATTCTTGGCCTTTAGTAGATTTAAAACATTTGACCTTTGGAATGGTGACAGCTCAGACAGCAAAGACAGCATGACTTTTTCACACTCATATATTTTGAGCTGACTGTTGAGGAATTCTTGATGATCCTTAGATAGTGAAAGTCTTCAACCGCCAAAAAGTGATTTTAAAGTTAAACTTAGGTTTTTTGCCTCCCTAAAAATGTATAAAAAATAAAATAACTAACGTAAAATCTTTCAGAGTGTTCCTGAGGGGGAAAAACATTTTCACAGATGATAATAACCAAATTTAAAGCTTTTTTTGGCGTTTTTCTGTTTTTATCTTGGTGAATCAAATCCGCTCATTAAAAAAATTTTGGTTTCAAGGAGAAGGAGGCTTCGGCTTCAATTTAGACTGAAAGAAGAAATAATTGAAACTTCAGAATGCGCGATCATCAAAACAGGGGCTTTCTAACTTACCAAAACACTTGGATTGGTTAGTATCTTTGTTGATGAATACTTTGGCCGAAATAACGGTTCCGAAAGGCATGAAGATTTGTGCTAAGTCCGCATCCGTGAACTCTTGAGGTAGGTAGTACACGAAAAGGTTGGCGCCCTCTGGCCCCTCGACTTTCTTACCGGCAGGGTTTGATGCTGTCCCTATAGACAAATTCAAAGCTAATTAGCACAACATATTCTCTGGGCTTTTTCTCAAGTTTCAAAATTTTGGCTAAAATGAAAATCTGAATCATTGTAACAATTTGTGTCTCTATACAGGCTATTATGGTGGCCAAGTAAAAAATTAGTAAGAGTGAAAATTTCAAAAAAATGTTTAAATATTTAGTTATTCCTGTATGTTATAAGAAACATTTGATAGATTGGGAGTTCCTTAAGTGTCTGCACAGTCAATCAATTTACATGTTATATGTTTGGCAGCATTTTACTTTGAATGCAATAGTAGCAACCTAAGCATCAATCATAGAGCACAAGACATAGAACTTTTTAATGGAATGAAGTCTGGCTTATATTGAATGATAAAACTAAGCAAATAAATGATCATTACTGGTTATCATAGTCACAACTCCTTCAAATTTTTGCAATACTTGAGACATTGCACAGATGGGGATTCGGTGTTGATCTTTCGAACTGTGCAGACGTGTTTTGTAGAGCGCTCGTGAGACGGTAAAGCTTTTGGTTCGGCTCGCGGCCCGGGCATCGCGGCGCGCAGCGACNTTTTTAAAAAAAAAAAAAAAAAAAAAAAAAAAAAAAAAAAAAAAAACATTGCACAGATTCAGGCTGTATTCGAAAAATCAAACTTTCTTGACATGTGTGGTCCTTTCGTAGATAAATCTATCTTCTTCATTCTCAAATTAAAAGATAAATTTAAATTTTAAACCTGAGACAGTATAATTGTTTGTTGCGTCAGAGATTTATGTTATACCATTCTAATTAGATTTAAGTAGAATTACCGTATTTGAAATGGGATATGGCATCAGGGATAGCAAGACTAGAAGCAGCTAGACCATTGAGAGGCGAAGTGAGACCTCCTAACGATGCAGCTGGAGTCGAAACTGTTGAAAAATATAACATCATCAATAAAAAATAAATGATTTGACATCTGAATATTTTCGTTTAAGCAAGGTACAACTTTTACCTCTAACAATGACTATCAATTTTAAAAGAACTAGTGGCTGATCCTTTCAGAACGAACTGATATGATTCATTTTGTTCTAACAGAAAATAATGTTAGAAATCGCAAAGCGTATGAATGCATAAATTTAGAAGTTATGCAATTTGGAGATCTGATGATCTTTGGGAGGATAGGGGGCAATGGCGATTGGGCGTCGCAAAGCGCGAGGCTGCGCTATAAAAGCGGCTTTATGTATGTATACAATTTGGAAACTTTGCATTATAAGAAGAAAGACTTAAGTTCCAATGTGGCAACCTCTTCATAGGTTGTTTGGATTCTAAGTGAAGGGTTCCAACAGCTTCAGTGAAAACATGATGCTGGGACAACACAAAATGTTTCTGTCTGCTTTGGCTTTCAGATAGACAAAAATAATGATACACTTTGCTGTACTTTTCCAAACCCTTGATCCATTTAACTACTAGAATAAGCCATGAATGATTCAGAACAAAGGACATCCTAAAGGCAAACATGCTGAAATTTAGACACCCACACAGATTGATTAAAAAACATATCACTCATAAAAAGATGCACTTGGCACATGCAGAAAAAATTAATTTTCTTATAAAAAACAAAAAAAATAAGATGGAAAATGGGAAAGCTTCCAAACTACCACTAAGATACCTAAAATGGCATTTTTATTGCCACATATTTTTAAAAAGTTAAAATGAATGTTTAATCAAAAGCTACTGAACTCAAAAAATGTGCCAAAAGATCGCTAAATTAACAAGGCAATATTCAAGAACAAAGCAATGGTAACACCTCAAAAAAAACTCAAGACCAACGGTATCAGGAGTCGCACTTGGCAATAAAAAAGATATGTTACATCTTTCATCAAGATGGTGGTCAGGACTGTCAAAACTTTGATGTAAGTAAAGCTACCAGGATAATTCTCAACTGTTATTTCAAGCTCAAATATACTACATTGCAGTTGGCTCAAATGAGGCCACCTTGGGAAAAGGGAAGAGGGCTAATAGGGCTAATAGGGCTATTGCCCAACTAGCATTGAAATGCATAGTACCTTAAAGAGCAATGTACAGTGTACACTTAAGCCAGAGTGCTGACATACGATGAAAACTTGATTGTGTCACAGCATGTTCAATTACTATGATAACGGTTAACTAAGCTGCCCGCTAAAAAAACTCCTACTGTTATACTAATATGCACACCTTCAGCATTACCCTGAGGAATGGGTCTGTTGCACGCAAGAGATACAGTCAAATAATTATACTCTTTAAGGGTAAATCGAACAGAAATCACGTTGGGCACATGAAAAAAGTCTGCAGTGCATTCCTCAGCGCATAATCTGCGTAGTTTGTAACATGCTATCCCGCGTCTCCAGGCAGTTTTTCTCAGTCACTGCCAACCAGGTTTGCAAAAGCAAAGGAGTAATAAAAACGAACTCCAGTAAACAAACGATTCGCTAACTTTTTCTATTGTATTATTTCAATTGTTTTCAAGTGTTTGTTCCCTTTTTCTTTCTTTCTTTGCAAAAACAAAAGCTATGAATCAATTTAAATCTTACACAAGGAGAGTTTACAACAGTTTGAACATTTTTTGTTTATTTAAGTTAGGTCTCTTTCCGGGCAAACCTGACTGCCGGCCACCATGAGAAACTGTCCGCATACGCGGTAAATTTGGAAATGGTATGGTAATGGAGGTAAATTTGTGTGTTACAGACAATGCAGATTGCACACTAAGGAGTGGATTTCAGACTTTTTTGATGTGCCGAGCGTAATTTTTGGGCAAATTTACACAAAGAAAGTATATTCAGTTAGCTGCATCTCTTGCCTTGGATAGACCCATTGTTAAGACTGAGCGACAAGGAAAACCCAAGGAAAAAGGTGATAAGGCAGTTTGGTCTTCAGAGTAAGGCAGCGATGGAGAGAGACTCTGATATTGTCAGTCACTTTGAACCCTTTTCGTGGTGTGCAGAACTTTAGCTTTGGAAGTTCAGAATGTTCTTACAAATGATACTTGATGGCTCATTTTGCCTTTAATTAATATATATCCTCAAAGTTTTGTCCCAGAGGCCGTTTTATTTTATTGAGGGAACAGAACTAATTCAAAGACTCCGAGACCAGACACATTAAAGGAAAATTAAAACTTTCTGTACGGATCCTTCTACTTCTCTTGAATACAGGAATAAATATTCACTAAATTCTTTCCAGAGGAAAACTTTATCGGATAATGATGTACATTAGTTCAAGTTATAATTTCTGATGCGATAAAAGAATAATAATTACTAATTACCCGGCTGGAGATCATAACCGCAATCTGTGGGAAGATAGGCAGGGGCTCTGTATGACTGACTCATAACCGGATGTTGCAGAGCTGAAGAACAACATTTCCATAAAAATTAAGACTTTTATTTTGAAATTAACTATCAAGAAAAACTAGACTGGCTCCTCATTTATAAGAGGAGCAGGATAAGGTTTTCCAAATTACGATGGATTTTAGATAAGTTTACTGAGGAGAGAAAAAAAATTATGAGTTGATTTTGGGAGGTGCAGACTCAATGAATCATACACTTCCAAACATGGGATAATTTTTCCAAAAAAATATTTTAAGGGAGGAAGTAAAATCAAATGAGATATATCATGCACTAAGAACAGTACAATTCTACTGAAAAGCAGCTAAAACTAGACACTTTCTACAGAGCTTTCAAAGTGATTACGTAAAGGTGATGCCTGTGATATGAATATTGGAGGAATTAGAAATAACAATTAAAAAACTCACAAGAAAACGAACACAAAAGAATAAATTAACAAATAAAAAATCAAAGTAGCTTGATATGATATGGATTTTGTTGAGAGGCAGTCCAAATATTGCGCGATTCACTCAGAGCTGAGGGAAAAGAAGGTCTGAAAATGATGCATTTCAGGACACGAACGTTTCACAGAAATGCATCAAGTCAAATTTTGGGGAAAAATGAGTTGAAAGTGGTTTTGAATGCAACTAGTTGCAAATTTTTGCCTGTCAAAAATTCGAAGTCCTGGAATAAAATATTGCTTACAGAAATTTTTGGTCGTTAAAATTTTTTCTTGACACATATTAGGTCTTGGGAAGGAATAAAACTTTTAATCTCTTTTTCTCAATTTAGACTTGATACATTTCTATGAGACTCAGTTCATTTCAAAGTGCATTCATATGAGGCATGGCCGGTCGAACCAGCAAAGAAAGTAAGGGACTTGTTCAAACTACTTTTAATCTAGTACTTTGTTTTTATTTTTTAAAAAAGTGAGTTTAGAATTACTGATTGATTTTCATAAAAATGAAAGATTTGAACAACACAAAATCTCTCAAAGACTCACATAGCAACGCCCAGAACATAAATGAAGAAACCTCAATACTATGTTCACAGGGTGAGAGAATATTCTAAAAAACGCAATAGTGCATTTCCTTCGGAAAATACACTAAAAAAATTGAGTGTATGGTTCACTTGAAATGACAAAAATTGTGAAGGAAAATGTGCAGTAAGCAACGGAAAAGAGTTGACCTGCTAGGCAATTCTGAATTCTCAGAACATTACAGAAAATTTGCTCTTTAAAAAACCATGCGACCCATCAGTTTCACTATTACTTGTGGCTAAACACTTCTGTATGAAAACAAACTAAAAAATGGTATGAGCATACCCAGCTTCGTATAGACAGGTTGTAACTGACTTATCTTTCATCCACAATATTTTTCATTCCAAATTAGTTTTTTCCAGTATATGTATTTTACTCTTTGAAACCTTTCAGGGATAATTTACTGCTTGAGTCAACAGTCATTTAACATACATTGCTAAAATAGTTCTGGACGGGAGTCTAGGACAACAGCATGCTTAGATCAAGCCGGATCTGGCATGTTAAGGGGTATAACAGAACAAAATTCATTTTAACCCTTTCCGGTCCAATGTCGGATATATTCGCCGTGAAAAATAACGCGTTTAGGTCCGATGTCGGATATAGTCGCCCAAAAGTTTGAACTTCTGTGCAGGCCCGATATCGGGTATATTCGACTGCTCCAGCAAGTGGCGGCCTCTGGTGGAGCCTTTGGAAACCACTGTCTTTGTTGACAACATCGCTGTTACCTTAACCTCACTTAACGACGGCCGTGGAAAACTGCCGCGGACCGGAAAGGGTTAAAAAATGATCCCTTATTTCAGAAAACAAACATTTCCTATCTTCAAGCCTCAGAATTATTTATACTTCATGAAAAACTTAGTAGGTGAGTATTTAACAGCATAAGGCGAAAATTAGTAAAGTGAAAATGATAATCATGACACACCCAAAAAAGAAAGGAAAAAAACCCAACGTGATTCAGCAACCGAAAAACAAACTACAAATATTTCAAACCAAAATGAATGGCAGAGTTAACTTAATGAATGACATACCCGAAGCTGAAGTTGCTTTACTCAGAAGGGCTATAAAAAATATCAAAAAAATGAATCAGAAAGAAAAAAAACCACAGTGAGGGGAGGAGAGAGAGTCACTTTCTTTTCCAATTCCTTTCGGTTTTAGACAACATTCAAAAATTAAAAACTAGAGGAGGATCATCTGTAAAATTTTGGAGGAACCAAAATTGATGTGTCTATTTACATCCGAAGTGAGGCAGAGATTATTGTCACCTTGCCGAATATTTCCTCTTTCTTGTTTCAAAGGCTCATTTACTGAGAGACTAAGAATTATTGTATTGCGAGGTTTAATTTTGTCTTTAATGCATTTAGGACTTATTGTTGGAGATGAGTTTAGGCAAAAAAAAGAGTTGTATTCTAAAAATCATCAAGGTATGATTCATATTTTTGCTACTTCTTGTTTGAGAACTTACAAAGTTAGGATTCCAATGGATTCCTAAATTGTACTGCTGAACTGCATTATTCAGTTCAAAATATCAATACATAATATTTGTTGAATTTAGAATAAATTTGAAGTCACTCATGAACTTGTGGCAGGCCTACGCTTAAAGGCGAGACACTTAAAAAAGATATATATATAATTCAACACTCACCAGCTGCGGTAGAATTTGACAGGCCAGACAGAGCTGAAAAATAAACAAAGATATTAAACCACAATATTGAGTGAGAACTTGGAGAAAATCTTTGAAGTTATCATAAAAATGAAACAATGAAGATAGTAAAGATTACTTCAATATTATTCAAACTTTAAGTTTCATTCAGCACACTTATTCATTGATGAGAAAACTGATTTCACTTTGCAGTCTTGATTTCCTAGGATTTGGGCCACAGCAAGTTCGGATTTTAAAGCCTACATTTCAGCTTGAGGGCTAAATTCAGTCAGCACTTAGGTACTGGAATGCAACATCAATCCATGAACTGAAACTGCACCGCTGGCCAATCAGAAGCTCTTGGACGGACTTACATGCAATCAAGACTCAAACACATCTGAGAATGCCCATTTTTCCTGACAAAAGTCAGCTACAGGAGATTGCACAGTATATCATAAAAATATATATTTAAAAAAGTAAAAAAATTGGCCAGCGTCGGCTTCCTCCAAAAAAGGCTTCCACCTGGGCATTAAATTTCCTGAGTCATCTTTTTCTTTCTTGACTAAAGCTTAAATTCCTACTGTAACCTACATATTTTTGTTCAACAGAGAAAAAGGATTTTCTATTTAGACAACCAAAAGGAAAGGGATTAGGATTTTCTATCGAACAAAAATATACTTCAGGAGAATCATGCAACATTAAATTAGTAGAAAACACAGGTTAAGTTATTCATGAAAATGGTTGCGCAGATTTGGCAGATAAATTGAAAGTTTCCAGCTTGTCAGTATTGTAGAAATGCAGCCTTTTTTCAGGATAGAATCATGCCCTATTTTTGTTCAGAATGACTATCAGGATTTGCATTTCTATGATGATGATGATGATGATGATGATGAAAATAGATATTTTCACAATCAAAAGTCCCTGAGTTTTCCAAAAATATTTTTACATTTTCATTTCAATTTATCTGTACCATTTTTTAAATTGCCTTCAGAACTAGGGATCCCTACTTGGGGCTAGTACCACGCTTAATTTCCCAGTTGTATACACCCAGACCCAGGTGACCACTGCCTAAGACCATCAAACTCAGGTAACCTTGTTATATATATATTAAGTCGCTCCTACAACGCACTCTGGCGTTCTGCGACGCCCAAATGCTGCATATGCCTATCCTCCCAGAGGTTATCGGGCAACTGACACCGCAACATCTCTTCGTCAACGCCCTGCCCTTTATGGGACGTCCCTGTCGCCTCTTCCCAGGCGGTACCCATTCCAAAACTTGTTTAGGCAACATCTCCTCCGACATTCTTTGCACATCTCCATACCAGCATAACTGCCTGGACATGACGTCCTGCACAATATCTTTTTCAACCCAAGCAAACTAACGCTGTTTTGTAACAAATAACATCCTCTTTCAATTCATTGAAACGTGGCAATCGAGCACCAACGCGTGTATCAGGAAAGGAAAACAAAATAACGATAGTTTGCTGCTGGCTGATGATGGGGCCATCTCGACCACGAAACGCGTCCCATTAAATTGTTAAATAGCGCGCGAAATTGTATCTCATTTTGACCATTTGGATAGCCTGAACTTTCATTATTTGCCTACTTACTAATGCTGTAAGGCGTCCACATAAATCGTTTTTTCCCACCATTTTCCCCACCGAATTTAACTCTTCATTTTCCCAATTACTAAGATACTTAGGGGGGGGCTTAGGGAAGATAGAAGGCTAGGTGTTGCTGAGTGCCAGAGACAGCTGTGAGAGTAGCTTTAACGTAAGTAATAGGAGACTAAGGAAACAGAAAATTAAGAATTAGAATTATTACTCTGAGGCAATTGCTCCATAAAATTAAAATGATCTTAACAATAAAAACTCCATTCTTCATTTTCATGAGACTGAAAACAGTGAAGGTGTGTTAAGTGGATTTACAAAACAGTTGTACAATGCAAATGTGAGACTCATGCTTGAAACAACATGAAATCATGCAATGGAAAGCTTTAGAACCTTGAGGAAAAAGGAAAAAACTAGAGCTCATGAGTTTTGTACCCTTTGAATCCTTTTCTACGTCTATTATTCTATCCGAGATGGGTACAGGCTGATGCAACCAGCATCAGGTCAAGCAAGAGAAAGCTTTTCACAAACAAGAGAGTGAGTTACTTGCAGCATGTCTAAAAGGTACTTTACTCCTTTGCATCATGGGGAATGTTTTCCAACTTCGATAAATTTGAAAGTCGGAAAGGTGCAAGATAGACAAAAACTAGTAGGTCAGTGCAAAGAACCAAAAACCGACAAACCGAGGGTCTACTGGAAAGAAGCAGTATTAATCAATCAGCTACGCAGCATGATCACAAAATAAAAAGCTATCTCTCAAAAGAAACAAACCTGAATTACTGAGACTAGATGTACTCGACCCTACAAAAACAAAATGCATGGCCCATTTAGAGAGGTGATAAAATTAAAAGAATTAACTGTTTTCACAGCAAAAAAGTATTACAATAATTAACTACCAATACCCTTATATGTAACTACAAATTAGCAAAATCTTTAAGTTCATTAGCTTCTCCACGGTTTGATAATTTTTATCCGTTGATAATTGGGCCATTTTATCCAAAAGACTAAGTGCAAAAAAACAAACAAATTTCCCTAAATCCTAGTAATTAGGCTTGGTGGCCAAGCAGCTCCTGAGACTTGAAGATGGAAATCAATGAATTAGTGACCAAGATACACTTTGAAAGTCCTTGCAGTGATGCTCTCGTCATTAAGTACTAATTTGATTTTAAAAGATGAGATATTAAAATAAATCATGAACTAGTATTTACAACCTTCATAACAGAGCGACGAAAGTTATTAGAAATTTATTATCCCTTTATTGACTTCTGAAGCTTGATAATTAATGAATTAATGAATTTTCTAGCAATAATGTTAAGAAGATACTATGACTCATCAAAAACTAAAAACGCTTCATTGACTGATTCAAACACAGTTCATTATCAAGCATTTTACCGGCTAATATGACTCATCTTTTGATGGTACATACATTTTACTTCAAGATACGGACTGAACATTGTTAAGCTGTGCCGTAGGTGTCCACATCGTTCTACAACCTTATCATAAGCGCAGATGCACCTTACGCAAAGCTCGCTTTCAAATTAATCTCACTATTAAGGCCTTTGGCAATGGGTTACACAGGAAAAGAATTATTTTGTGGTAATTACAAGAGTAGCATGTGAGTATGATAAAGAGATTCACTTTCATAGTGGGTTTTTTTTTTTTTTTTTTTTTTTTTTACATTACTAGGAATCTGCATACAAAATAAAATGTCAATCTTAGGGAAAAAATCTGAGTAGAAATAGACTAACCTGTTGGTGATATTTGGGTTCCACTCATCGCGGCTAAAGTCATAAGGTTCTGTACATTTATAGGATTCACCGCTGAAAACAAACAAGAAATTTGGTGAATAATTAAAAAATACTCCTTGTCTTCAATTGCTTATACTAGAGGAGGTAATCTTCATTGATCTAAGACATGCATGTCCATACCGAAGAAAGTTGAGTGCAAAATTAGCATAAGGATGGAAGCTCTTAAGGGTAACAAGGTATTCTCAAAATTTTCAACGATGAAAATCAAAATCAAAAAAAGATTAAAAGATTGTTTCAGATGGTGGTTGTATAAGAGTTTGTTTCTTTTGTTTTTTTTTTAAAAAAAAATGAAAAACAGGGAAATGCATTTAAGATATACCAAAGAGTCGAGGATTGTCAGATAATCCATTTCTTCTTTGAGTCATCCTACTTCCCCGCCATATGCGACATGAAAATGAACTGAGACCACTGATTCATACTACTGTTTAAATATGGCAGATCAACTCAGTCATAATATTGACACAGTGCCAATAATTCAAGTCCACAGTACCATTACAGCAAGTTATTATTGGCAGCGACAGGCCATCGGCCGTTCAACGTAGCAAATGAAGCAATTCATGAGAGCGACAAGTGATAAAATTCCTTGACCGGTATCCATTTACGACAACTTTAAAGACTAATTGCATAATTTGCAGGTCTTCCAACAATTAGAGTAGTGATTTTATGTATGCTTGTTCTTTGAACTCTTAATCACCAAAAATAATTCAAATTCATAATTTATCTGCTTCACTGAATCAAAGGTGGTTTAAAAATGTTTCTAAAGCTTATACTGCTTGACAGTATTTTCTAAAATTCATGTGCCGACGTAAGTAGCATCGCTATTTGAGTAAAGCATGTTCTAGACTCAACTTTCACAGTAAGTATCGAATTGGAGTAAGAATTAGAGATGAATACATCGAATTGGACATTTTTTTAAATCTCCCATGATAGAAAAAATTCTCTGAATTTTTAAGTACATGGGTACCTGCTTTGGATACTAGATAAATTGATACATTACATTCATTAATATGTGGATACTGATTAAATAGGGGAGACTCAAGAGTAAGAGGACTTTCTCCACGCAAAGTCGGTAAAACTCTTTGGCAAATATGAGTGCACAGGACTACTTGAGCCATTCTTTGTGAAAATGAAATATGGGTTCCACAAAACTGACTTGTTACATTACTTGCAAAAAACCTAGTGATAAAAACCTAACAAGCTCATTTTTTTCAAGAAAAGATGGATAGTAAAACGGAATATTTTAGGAGTTATACTTTTGAAGGGGCTTTCAAATCATTCAACTGCAAATGGTGCTCCCAGATGCAAAGACAGGCAGCACTGTAAAACTTTTTTGTCGTTTCTCCAAAGAACAGCTCACTCTACGGAGAAAAACATTTTTCATGCATATGTAAGTCAAGAGGAACATTGTTAACTGCTGTGAAGATGAACAAGCACATACCTGCATTGGCAACGGAAAGATTGGCTAAGGTCGCTAAATTTGTTAGGTTTGCAGAGCTAATATCAGCTAAAGTTGGACTAGTACTAAGAGGTGCTACATTTTGGAAACCTGAAAAAATAAAGTACATCATTTGATGAGGCACTGATAAGATCCGGTAAAGTTCCACAGAAATTTTGCAGGCTATATGTTGAAATTCTGTATTAGTCGATGAGACACTAAGTTGGAAGACAGTTATGCAACAGTCGAGTTCAAGGATGGTGGCCAGGAGAACACAGCAGAGTGTCAAATCTGCTGCAATTTTTGAAATTATGGCAGTATGAGAGTTTTCTTTAATAATAATATTTTCTTGGTTTTTTTTTTTTTTTTTTTTTTTTTTTTTTTTTTTTTTTTTTTTTTTTTTTTTTGCATAGTTTAGTGAAGTTGCAGGTTGCAAGTGAAATTCATGTTTGGATCTTGATGGTTTCTTGTTAGACCAAAAATTGCAAAATGGGTTTAACATCTTGGCATAAAAATGATCCGACATACCGAGTAATCGAGATAATTTAAAAAGCTAAAATCCAGAGCACTTATGAGAGTATCTATAAGCTTTCAAATAAGCTCTAGTTAAACTAAAATAAACCCTTTCAAGGCCAGGACGGCTACAATCCGTGAAATTTTTGAACAAACCTTCTACAATCTGAAACACTGAAAATAGAAGTTTCTGTGACTAATTGAGAAAGTTAAGATAAGAATAAATGCTAATTTTGAAATAACAAGAATAACTTGTCAGATGCATTCAATAAGAATTTGACTTATCATATCCATGAAGGTAGCACAACAACGCTATAAGAAGTTAAAATTTACTGGCAAAATAATTTTTTTTTCTTACATGATTTCTTGCTGCAGGTAATTTTTATAGGTACTCCTAGAGGAAGAGCGATCGAGGGATTACTGGCTCTCAAGATAGGTTGGAAATTTTCATTTTGTCAAAGATTATAAAACAGGCATAATAAAAAAGTGGCTTCATAAGTGCAAGATTTTCAAAGAACTCCTTCAAACTGGCTTTTCTTTCAGGGTTACTGTTCATTTTTCCTTACAGAGCCTCCTTGGGCCTCTTCATATTTGTGTCCATTATTCGGATAGGCACCTACTGGGTCTAGGCTACTACTAAGGAGGTAATACTACAAAAACCTACCGGTAGCCGAGGTATTGTACAAACTGCTACGAGGTTGGGTATTTGTGGCTTGCAGCTGCTGCTGTAAGATTTGAAGAGGCGTAAGGCACGTTGTGTGAGTATCATTCTGAAACAGAGGAGCAGAGAAGCTGTAATTATGTTGGAAATAGACAGTCCAGATGTCCAGTGTGGACATCTATTGTGCTCTGTTGTAGCATGGATTGTTGAAGCCAAGGGGATGTAAGTACTACCTCTGAGAGTTTTGAGCTTTCATTATAAATTTGTTTGAGGAGGAATGACATAAAACTCCAGTTTTTTAGTATTTTTATTAATTATCTTCACTCACTTAATAAGCAATTCTGATCAAAGTAGTAAATATTATTAAATTTTTTGAGCTTCTTTGAAGCAAGGGGGAGTTTCAATCAACTGCAACTACATACTGTTTCAGGTTTTGCTTAAAAATCAATACAGCCATCCAGCAGAGCAAAGTTGCTGCAACTTCATTACAGATTTTGCAGTTTTCTTCCATTAATCTAGCTCTACTACAAGAAAAACCTGATTACCATCATGTTCCAGTTTTCAGTTTGAGCTCCCAGCGGCATGTTACAGTCATTCTGAAAATAGGAAATATGAATGGTTGTTGGTTTTTTTTGTTAAAATGCACTTTGTTAGAAAAAAATATAAACATGAAGAGTGAAGTGATGACGTCCAAGCTTTTGACAACAAACTTCCTCATGGCACAGATTGCAAATAAATAAAAATGCTTGATTCGATCAATTGGAACTTAAAATGAATATTTTTTGTACTAGCATTCTTGTCATGCCAAAGGTATTCTGCTTGTCGTGATAAGAGTTTCAGGTGTCCCAAAGAGATTAAAGAGTGGTAAATATTCACTGCGCAGCCCTCCTACTCCGAATGGTAAAATTTCTCCATACAGATTTGAGGTGAATTTAACTTCATATAAACTTAAGGACATGAAGACATAGAGTAAGTAACTGCACCTGCTCAAGTTAAAGCACACCATTGTGTGTAATGTAACTTCATTCAACATTTTCAAGCCAGAGCAGGCTACATAATATAAATTAGCTGAGGGTAAACATAAAAATAATCACTGCCATGACTTGCCAATTGATAAAACCAAAGTTCACAAGCTGCTGTTGAACGGTAATCTAATAAGTGAGAAACCAAAACAACATAACCTAAATCTTGTGTTGTGTGCTAAGACATTGAGTTGTGCCACGGCCCACGGCTGTATGTGAGATTATTTATGATTTTGGAGATTCTTGGCAACCCAGCAGTAGTCGCGCGGCAAAAATACACCTGTCCAATGAGAGTGCCGTTCCATTCCTACATTTCAGGTGGCGGGATTTTTGAGTGTAAATAAATGACCTCTGACGAGGAGCAGCCTTTGCCCATCAAATTTTTCCAAAAGTATATCTCACACCAAAAAACGATCTTTCCAGATTTTTGAAGACTAATTTATCGACGGTGAAATTTCCTTGAAACTCGGTTTTAAGAAGTTACAGATTTCCTGTGATATTACATTTTAATTGGAGGGCGATCAACCATCGTTACTGCACGAAATTTCGTTTGATTCTTTTTCGCTATTCCTTCATACAAATTCGATGCAAAATTGTGGAAACAGGTTGCCGAGATAAAATTTCAAATGAAAGATGCTGGAGCTGAGAAAAAAAAGATTCGAATTTTCATATCCTCAATACTCAACGTTAAATATGTTCAAGTTTAATCCCTATTTTCACATTCAAAATATTTACTCTTATGTGAATGAATTGTCGTCAGGAGAAAATATCCGATTGGTCCACTAGTTGAACTCATGATCGGGCACGGACACTTGGTAAAGGAATTCCCTGATTTTTCAAACAACGCAAGATGACGAATAGATCATTTTAAGATTTTCGAATCCGGCTAAAAGATACACTGGGGTTGTGTTACAAGATACGTGAAATTCAAAAGTTCCGTCCACGGAATTTTTTCCTGACTTTCAGGTCATTTATTCATTCATTCATTCATCCCTGGATTTTCCCCTTTCTTTCTGACTCAATTAGTTTCTGTGACCTCGCCCATATTTCCCAGGTTCTCCCGGACTGAGGCCACTCTCTTTTAACTCCTTTCTTTCTAAACATGTGCCTTGTGGTTTCAGTCTCCTAGGTTTCGTTTACATTTTCAGGGTGTCTACTAAAACAGGCTGTGGCTAAAAATACAGAGTTTTTCAGTACATTCCCAAGAAATTCAGTACCTCCTCAACAGAAAAATTCAGTGCTTTTTCGGTACCTCATATTGACGAAGTTCGAAAAATTTCAAAAATTTGAATTTCTCGCTAAAATTACGACAGAAATGAGAAAAATTCCGGACCTCCTTGTGGAATTCCCGCACTTTTTCAGTACTTGCGGACCGCCCTTTAAAAATCAGTACTATATCCGGACTTGTAGGCACTCTGATCGCGGCATGGCATGAATCCGCTTGATGCGATTTGATCGGGAAGACGGAGGGAACTTACGGTAATTTGATTGCTAAGAGCAGCCGCCGTAAAATATGACTGAGGCGAGATGTTGACGCTGGCCAGACTACTCCAAATGTTGGCCTGCATCTGCTGCATCTTCTTCTGATCCTTCTCTTTCTGAGTGTCCGCGAATTTCACCACCAGCGGAGAGGAGCAACCTTCCATCGTTTGCGATTGGTGCATCGCCTTGATCGCGTTCAAAGCGCACTGTTTCGATGTGAACGTCACGAATGCACAGCCTACAACACAAGAAATAGTACATGAAGAAACAAAAAAAAAACAAAGGAAAAACAATGTTTTAAAAGAAGAAAGACGGTGGACAGTGCTCGATGGTCCAACTAGGGGGCTTAGCGGACAAGGCGCATAAGTGCAGTTCTTGAATTGAGATATTAATGATTTCAGGTAAAACTAGCCGTACTGCGAATTCTGTGAGAAATTCGCTCCCAATTTCCAATTTTTAAGCATCAAAAAGTCAGTTTGAACTTTCTTTCCGCCATAAGATCAATGTAATTTTGAGATTTAAAACATGTGTTTTTCGAAATAGCAAAACTGCACTTTTGCGCCTTGTTCTCCAAGCCCCTCAACTAAAAAAACACGCATATAAATCAAGTTGGCATGGAAATCAGAAAATGAGATTAATGCAGAATTGTAATGATAGAATGACTCTAAAACACTTCATCTTAAAAAAAAATTGAAATTCGTGTGGAAATTACTTGTAAAGTAAAGCCTAGAATTAAATTATTGAAAAATTAAATAAATTATGCGACTTCTTCACGCCTGACACTTCAGATGTCAGCTCTGTTTCTCTATTCCATTCTTTGCCATTGATATGATACAATTTCAAAACACTAGAGCACTCGAATTCTCTAGGCAGTGCATTTCACACGACGGTGGATCGAGTCCGTAGGAAAGGTCGGACAAAATTTGGAAACTTTAAAAGCTTGTAAATCCGTTTATACAGCAGTTTGAGATTATGAAAGTGATTCCATTGGTTTCCACGGAAAATTTCCTTCTGGAAACATCCCTTCAAATTTGAAATGAACGAATTAAACAACAAAATTTGCAGTTTTAGTCAAAAATTTCATGTCCGACCTCTCGAATTGACTCGGTCCACTGTGCGACGTAAATTCAATGCGGAAAACGACACTGGCAGATTCCTCCTGACTACTCTATGATAATTATGGAGAAATTCTAAGTCATAGATTTTATTGGCGCCTAGCCTAAAAAAATTTAAAGCGTGTGGATATTTTGAAACGGCGAAATTGAGATACGCGGTTTTGTGGTCTAACCATACTGCCGTGCTCAGGAAGAACGCCGTATGAACCATTAGGCGTTGCCAAATTTCCGTTGGTAAATCACGAATTTTCGGGAAAGATTGTAAATGTCTTTCTTCCGATTGTTCGGATAATTTTGTTCGTAATTTTACCAAAAGTTCTTGAAAATTTCTCATGAAATATTCATAGCTTTCCTCAAAAATAAACGTTTTATCTGGGGAAATTTGGCAACTCTCGAATGTTCATACGGCGTTCTTCCTTAGCACGGCAGCATAGCTCGCCGATACATTTTCGATAACTTCGAGGATCAATTAAAAGTATAATGGTTAAAATAGGCGCAACTGCCTTATTGTTTCAAGACATATGTACGTAAAGGTATACGTCATCATAGTCATAGTGCACTGTTCCGTTGGCGGACAAAACTGCAGGTCTGCGTGGATTTTTCATGAGAGTTGTCGGCTTTTTTATTCTTAATGGGACGCATTTCTACCAAACGGAACTATGCGCATTATAACGTGAGCCCTGTTGTGCACACATTCTTATGGGTCTCAGGGCTCATGTTTTCATGCACATTGTTCCGTTTGATGGAAGTACGTCCTATTCATCAAAGTAAACTAGCTCGTTACGGCTACAGCACGAAGACGTATCTACACTGCATCGTGCAGCAACTTTACTACTACTACTACTACTACTACTACACACCTACATTTCATAATGTACTCGCAGCGACTGCATGCGTGCAATGATGGCAGGTCGGAGGAAAATACCACTTTCCACATTCAAATGAAGAGTGAAAATTCAAGATCAGGTTAACGCTATACGTTCAGAGAAAATGTCCTTAATTAAAAGTCCAAGAAGGGAAAGTACTTAGTTTTTTTTTCTCAAAGAGGACCGACATGCACAATCTTTGCAACACTTGTAGCGCTTAGCCATGCGCTTAGCAGGTTTTGAATTTCAACTTTTCGTAATGATGTGGTCGGACACTTTCTGTTCAAATTCTATTCCTGTTAGGGGTGAGAGGCAGAAGTGAGATGGAGATGGCAAGGGAGGCAGTGTTTCCAGCGCAGTATTATCGCAAATCCATACTTTTGCAAAAATTCCGGTTCATAAGGGACACCTTGAACTGCATGGTGATTCCAAAAGGAACAGGGTCTGAGGTACATCCAATCAACAGATCTTCGACATTTCATTTTTAAGGATCTTCCATCGGACAGTTTCAAGTCCAGTGCGATCCTTTTCCGAGCCTAAACATATTTCTAGGTGATCCTAATTTCTTGCAACATGATTATTTTAGAGACCCCGAAAAACGATACACTCGTAAAGAACCTACATAGAACAGAGAGCACACCTACCGGACAGCAACATAGACAATAGAACAACAAAGTAATCCGTCAAACTGCCGGAAAAAGAGCGTAACATTACTTTCAGTTGAGCCTCGCCCGGTGGTGATTTACCAAGTTGGCAACACTGTATTCCCTTCACTTAAATCAATTGAAAAAATTGATCATCGGTGAGGCGAGCCGCCTCGCCAAGAATCGATTATTTTACATACGTTTAAATGGAAGAAAACAGGGTTGCCAAGTCTCAAGAATCGACACTGGTCTCGCTTTACATGCTGTTTACGGTTCACTGGAAAAAAAAGTTGCGCCGTTTTCCCGACGACTCGGCTTAAACCTGCACCGCCTCGGCCGTAAAAGCGTGGCGCTTTGGCAAGCGGCCATGACGGCCTAACCTGCCGTTTTAAGAAGAAACGCTGTGCGGACATTCGAACGCACCCAAATTTTGACTGAAAAAATACGCAAATTTTCGCAAATTTGTGCACTATTCGTGTCGAATTCCCCACAGAATTTTTCACACAATTTAATCTAATGTACGTGAATATTCCGAGGAAAAATATATATGACTTCTTTCAAAAATTCATGTTCTGGAGAGGGAGATTCGGCAACGTCCGAATGCTCATACGACGTTCTCCGGTGCGGCGCACAGTGGATTGGGTCAATAGGGGAGGTCGGACAAAATTTGGAAACTTTAAAAGCTTATAACTCCGTTTATACAAAACGTTGAGGTTCTAAAAGTGGTTTCATTAGTTTCCTCGTGAAATGTCCTTCTGGTAGCACCCCTCGAAATTTAAAATGTGACGAAATAAACTTAAACATTTGCAGTGTTAGTCGAACATTTCATGTGCGGCCTCTCTATTTGACTCGACCCACTGTGCGGCGGTAATGGCCGTAAACGACCGGGCGATGGGCCTTTCAAATATTTATCCGTGTGAGCGATGGGCCGGGAAGGGGGGGGGCGCCGTGTGCCCGGCGAAAATAAACTCCGGGGAAAGCAAATAAAAGGGCCGGGGCCGGGGCGCCTCCGACGTAACGGCAGATAAATAATTTCAAAACGGAATACGGAATGCGAGACCGATAGGGGAGTAGTCGAGTGCCACGGTCGCCATCCTCACGCGCTGTCCGACGAGGCGAGGGCCTCGCGGCCTTTTGGTTGCTTTTGGAACCTTGTTCTTCGCTTTTCCACCCGTGATAAGCTAGCGAATATTAATAATAAAAAATACAAAACAAGCCCCCCCCCCTCCTCCACCAAGGCTAATGGAGTAAAAAAGCCAAAATCAAGGATTTCGAGGACTGCCGATCAGTAACATCAGGGGTATCAAGGACTGCCGATGAATACATTCAGCGGTATCAAGAACTGTCAATTGAGAAAATCAGGGAATTCGGAGAGTGTGGATCCGTCAAATCAAAAACTTTGAGACAACTCAACAGGTTAAAGTATGGACTTCTAGGAGTTCCAATAGAGTCTTCAAATCAAAATCTTTAAGAAAACTCAACTGGTAAAATTATGGACTTCCAGTAGTGTCAACAAATGTTTGTCAGATCATAAATATCGAGGATGTCAAATATCATATATCATGAATGTCAAATATAAACGTCGAATTGTCGATTGGTAGAAGAAAGGAATTCGAGGACTGACAATGAATTTTAAGTGAGCTCATGGACTTCAAGAACTGTAAATCAGTTAAATCAAGAGCTTTACGGAGTATGTGAATCAGTGAAATTAGGAACTCCAATGGCAGTCAGCCGATTAGTAAAATTAAGGACTTGAAGCTGGAATGTCAATTTTAGCCATCTCCAGAAATGATCCATCGGTCGAACGGAGGACTTAAAGAACCAACAATTAGTAAAATAAAGGATTTACATCAATGTTAATTTCAGTAAAAATTGCACTTTCAGAGATGCCTATTGGAGAAATTAAGGACTCCTGAAAGGGAGCCTTTTACTCCTAGGTCAAAGACTTTCTAGGACTATTAATTAACACATGTTATGTTTATTTTTTTTTTATCGGGTTGCACTTGTATCATCGCACTTACATTTCTTTTTCTATTCACATCGGGCGAAAAAGTGTCATGATATCAATTATCAGATGCAGGTGGAAACCTTGAAGGACTATCAAGAGTAAAATTTGAATCTTTAAATGCCCCTAATCGACAGACAGTCAAAAGAAAATATATGGAATTTAAGTTAGTTAAAGCTTTATAGTTAGTTGATAAAGTCAGAAGCTACTTCAAGAACAGTCAATTCGTACAATATAGGCTTTATGTCGACTTTCAAAGCTTTTCTGGATAGATTTCCGAATAATTTTTCATCGAAGATTGCAGAGGAAAAGCGATGAGAGAGCATTTGGAGTCTGTGTTGACAACGGCGTAAGGAGTTCTGTTGAAACTCTCGAGGCTAGTGATGTCCAATTCTTAGTTGGACGTATTTCTATCAAGCAGAACTATACGTGGAGCCGCATCCATTTCCGTTGACGTCACTGGCGCTTTATTATTCTCATTCACTCTTACGGCCAGAGAACTGACGCGCACACCCCAGATTTCTCACCCAGTGTTCGAAACTCACCTTTGAGTTTTAGGAGCCATGTGGCGCATCAAGCTCGATTTTAGGGGGCCATTGAAGATTTTT